TTCTCAGTTCTGGAAGCTGGGAAATCCAAAATCAAGGCGCTGGTAGATTCAGTGTTTGGTGAGGGCCACTTCCTGGTTCACAGACTGCAGTTTTTTCACTGTGTTCTCATATGACATAAGGGGATAGGAGCTCTCTGGGACCTCTTTTATAAGCACACAAATCCATTAATGAAGGCAGAAGCCTCATGACCTAATCACCTCCCTGAGACCCCATCTCCAAATACCCTCACAATGGGGATTATGTTTCAACACTATGAATTTTGGAAGGACATAAGCATTCAATCTATAGCACCACTCTATCACACTCAATAATGAAAGATTCAAAGCTTTCTTCTTAAGATCAGGAACAGAGAAGGATATCTGCTTTCACCACTGCTATTCAACATCATACTGGAGGTCTTAGTCAGTCTAATAAGAAGAAAAGGTGGAGGGAGTTACATACAAATTGAAAAAGAATAAAACAGATCTATATTTGCAAATAACATGATTCTCTACATAGGACAATTCCAAAGAATCTACAAAAAATTTACTCGAATAAATGAATTTAGCAAGGTTGCAAGAATCAAGGTCAGTATGTAAAAACCAACTGTATTTTTACATACAGCAGTGAATAACTGGAAACTAAAATTTAAGAGAATTATTATTTACAATAGTATCAATTATTACTTAGATATAAATCTAACAAAATGAGCAACATCTTTATGATGCAACTACAAAATGCTGACAAAGGAAATGAAAGAAGACCTACATAAATGGAGACAACATGTATTTATGAATTGGAAGACTCAAGATGTCGATTCTTCCTAAATTGATCTATGCATTCAATACAATCCAAATTAAAATCCCTTCAGGACTTTTTGTAGAAACCAACAGGCTGCCTCTAAAAGTTTTATGGTAAAGTTAGAATAGCCAAGGCAATTTTGAAAAAGAATAAAGTTCAAGGATTCATATTACCTAATTTCAACACTTACTATAAAGTAAAAATAACCATGACAACTTAGTATTGGCAAAATTATAGGCACAAAGATCAAGAGAAAAGTACAGGAACAGATTCACCTATATGGTCAACTGACTTTTGACAAAGTTAATTCAATGGCGAAAGGAAAGTAGTCCCAACAAATGGTGCTACAACTACATATGCACCTGAAAAGAAAATGAGCCTTGACCCTTACTACACACCATATACAAAAACTAACCCAAAATGTATAATGTACCTTGACATAAAAGCCAAAACTAGAAAACTTATAGAAAAATCATGAGTAAATCTGCACAACTTTGCATTAGGCAAAGAGTTCTTAGAACACAGAAGCACAAATCATAAGAAAAAGTTGGTAAGATGAATTTATCAAAATTAAAAGCTCTTCTTTTAAAGTTAGGAAAATGAAAAAAAAACAAGCTTCAGATTGCACTGTGTGTGTTTATGTATCGCTGTGTCAAATAAGTTGTATTAAGAATGCATTAAAAAATGCTTACAACTCAGTAAGACAAACCACCCATTTTTTTTGTTGTGTTTTTTAACGAACAAAAGATGTCAACAGATCTTTTGCTCATTAAGACATACACTTGAGCAAATTCTCAGCACCATTAGTCATCTGGTAAATGCAAATTAAAATCCCAATATGATACCACTACATACCCACTAAAAGCGCTAAAATTTAAAAGACTGAAATAACCAAGTGCTGAGGACGATGTGGAGCAACTGGAACTGTCATACGCTGCTGACGGATATGTAAAATAGGACAACCACTCTGGAAAACAGCTTGGCAGTTTCTTACAAAGTTAAACATCTATGTATCATACAACCCAACAAGTTCCATTTCTAGGAATTTACCAAGAAAAAAAGATGTTCACAAAAATTCAAAATAAATGAATGTTCATTGAATAAATGAATGTTCAAAAAATGAAGGTTATTTATTAATAACAGCCCCAAACTGTAAACAATCCAAGTATCTGTAAATAGGTGGAATGGTCAACAAACTAGTAAGTCAATACCAGGGACTTCTATTCAGCAATAAAATGAGATGAACCAGTTAAGTACAGAAAAACATGGATAATCCTGAAAAACATGCCAAGAGAAAAAGCCAGATACAAAAGAGTATGTATTACATAATTCCACTTATATGAAATTCTAGAGAAAATGATACCAATTTATAGCAAGAAAAAAAGGATGAGTGCTTTCCTAGTCCTGAGGGTGAAATTGTGACTGATTGTAAAAGGCAACTTTGGGGGAGATGAAAATATGCTATACCTTAATTGTGACATGAAAATATTCCACTCTTGACTGTGGTGGTGGTCACAGAGTACACATTTGTCAAAAACAAAATACACTGTACATTTTAAATAAGTACATTTTATTGTATCTAAATTATCCTCAATAAGGTTGATTTTCTAAGAGGGTGATCTCTCAGGAAAATATAAACCAGGGAATACTGGTGATGACCACATATACCACCTCAAAAGATGTCAAAAATATATATATAAGAAAACTCTTTTATGGTTTTTAACAATGTCAGAAACAACAACATAATCATCTTGGAAAGCCAAGACTAGAAGGAAATATTTTAATATCGGCGGCTTTACCAGAAAGCTTCAGCAAACATAATTAATGCTAAAACATTAGAAGCATTCCCCCTTAAAGTCAGAAACAATACCATGTTTTTAGCTATCAGTGCTATTAGTTTTTAATCTATCAGTGTTCAACATTTTATAGGATGTATAATTGCAAAAGCAATGAGAAAAACACCTAAGTTATAAAAACTGAAAAGGAAACCACAAAACTGTGACTATCTCCTGATAATCAACTCAATAAAATAATTTGATACATGATAGAAAACCCAAAAGTTTGGCTATAACCAGAGAAAAGAGAGAGAGAGGAATGTTATTTAAAGTTTCCATCCACCACACGAATCAAACCATAAAATAGCTAGGAATACTGGGAAGGAATGTTATACGTATGAAGAAAAAAAAGAAAAACTATAAAAATTTCCCTAAGAATATAAAACAAGATGTGAATAAAATGGAGAGACCACATTTCTGAGGAGAGAGACTCAATACTATAAAGATCAGCTGTCTCCAAATTAATCTAAAATTTCAATACAACCTTATTCAAAATAGCTAAGGATTTTTAGTTGAGTCTAAAGTTTACCTAGAAGAAGAAATGTGTAAGAAACATTCAAGAATATTTTCAACAAGAGTAATAAAGAGGGAGAAAGGGTTACCAAAATTTAAAATACGCATAATCTTTTAACTGAGCAACTCCACTTCTAGGAACCCAAGCTCCAGAAATAATCACACATAGAGGAAGTTTACTGAATTGTTAACAGTGGCAGACAATCAAGGTGCAAGCAGGACTAGAAGTGGAAGCGGTGCTTTTTATCTTACATTCTTCCATACTGTTTAATTTTTTTAAATCAAGGATGAGTTAAAATTTGTAATTAAACATCGATCAATTAATTAGAAAGTTATTTTCATTATAAATCATTATTTGTGATACCAAAAAGAAACTACAATTAAATGTCTTTCAAAAAGGGAATAAATTATAGCCCATTCAAACTGATGAGATACCAGTTAGCCTTTAAAGAAGTATTAGGGAGACCTTTATGTAACAAGTAAAGGTGTTCAAGACATGTAAATAAGTCAATAAGCAAGCGGTATGCAAACATGCTTGGTATATGGTATAGCCTCCCTCAAAAAAAAAAAAAAAAACTTTACGTGTACGTTTATGTGTTTAGAAGTGCATTTGTAAGAGCGTTTTGAAAAATGAACACTAAACTGTCAACTTTACACTGGAGTGGGACTGGGGGATGAAAAGAAATATTCTAATTTTACCTAACAGTCCGTTATTTACATTGTTGAAATGTACATCAAACTTGCCATGTCTGTAATGAATTTTTAAAATCAAGTGGTTATCTCATATAAAATTGACATGAATCCCAAAAGACAATTACAACACTGAAAAATATAGTTTAAACGTTTATTACTGTTATCCTCAGGTTTATTCACATACACTTCACATTATCTGTAGCCTTCAGCAAAGGTGACTGCCATTTTAAAGAAATGTGACCAAATATTTCATGATAAAACAGAATACATTAAGCCTGTAACGAAAATTTTAAACTTCACAAAACCAGCAGACTCAAAAGAAGTGCCTATGCGGATGTAAATTTTTTTTTAATGTCCGGAGAGAGAACTCTCAGATTACTCTTCCTCCCTGCAAAATGACTATTTACCACCTCCCTTTGCTTCAACTTGGTCTGAGCGTCTTCAAGCTCACCATTTTGAATGTGCGCAAAATGATTAACAGTCATCTGAGGGAGGCCAAATTAAAGGTGCATCTGCAAGAGGAGCTCTGGCCTGACATCGCTAACAGAGAACAGCCCTGGCGGAAGGGTGCTGATCCCAGGAGTAGAGCGACTGCCGCGGCTCGAGCGGGGTATCTGCGTGCCGAGCCTCACTGACAATCGGGGAAAATGCAGACGCCCAGCAGAGCGACGGCAACGGAAGGCTCCTCGGGGGAGGGGGGCTGCAGGCCTGTGGCGTAAGATGGTTCCGCTCTACGCGGGGTGACGGGAAACCGGCAGAAGGGGGGTGTGAGGTGTTGGTTGGGGGGCACACTCTTGGACAGTGGCGAGTGTACGGGAAAGCCAGCGGGGTCCTTGGCCAAGTCACCAAGGACAGCAGAAGAGGCAGGAGGAAAGAGCGGCAGCGGAGACCCCGATACCAACCGATGTCATCCGTCGGGGGGCTGCGGGCGCGACCGTCCCGGATAGGAGCGCGGCCCGGGTCCGGGCTGGACAGGGCCCAGGAGGCGAAAAAGGGTTCCCACAGCCATCAACCCCACCCACCATGGCCGGCGCAGCAGGCCAGGGACAGGCCCCGCTCCTTCCCGAGGCTAGAGACAGAGAAACTGAGGAGCAGAACGCAGCAATTTCCTCGCCCCGACCCCCACACTCCCTACAGCGGAACAAGCCAGATTGAAAAAAAAAAAAAAAAACCCTCACCGAAATGTGCAGCGGCTCCGGAGCGAGAACAGCGCTCGAACCTCCACCCGCCACCACCGCCTTCTTCTCCGCCTCCAACTCCTCCCCCGCCGAACGCGCAGCGGCTGGCGGCTGTGGCGGCGGCGGCGGCGGTGGCGGCGGCGGAAGCAGAGGCGGTGGCGGCGAGTCCCGCCCCTTGCGCCGCGGTTGAGGCGAAGGAGGAGAGTACGCAAGCCCCGCCCTCATGGCAGAGATGACCAATCGGCTTACAGGATCTCTGCCGGGGGACTGCATACGCCCAATCAGAACCTGAGGAGTGGGCTCACGTCAATGGTTGGGACGTGGCAGAAAAAGGGAAAAATACTTGGACCTTCTCTACATCCTGCTCCCCCATCGCCCTCAGGGGGAGTTCACCATTGGCTGAAGAGCGGAAAGACGAAGCCGACTCCGTCCCCCACCCCCAGCCGGGCCCACCTCCTTTCCCTGCAGTACTGCGACGTTTGGGGAGGGGGCGGAGCACCGTGTAGGAGCTAAAACAGCGCGGCCTTTTGTGGTTTGGGCTGAGAGAAAAGGGCGGGGTCTCAGGGAAAGGGAGGTGGGTGTGGAGAACTAACAGAAGGACTGGCGCAGTTAGGCTTTTTCGGAAATTCCAACAGCAACAACCAAAATGGAGGCGTTAAAATCGATCCTGATTTGACTGGAAACCTGATTAACAAGGTTAAGGTCTGGCATAAAGTTCAGTTACAATTCAGATATCGGTGGGAGAAAAAAAAAATGACAGGAGGAAAGGCTCGTTTACCCACTCTGACCCTGGGCACTCTGTGGCGCTTTCCACCCTCCCTTTCCGCGCTGACCCTTGCCCCTCGCTTCTTATTCTGCTGGGGCGGGGTTCAGAGGAGGCCTGCCTTTCCTCTCTATAGCCTTGGGCTGACCACAGCCTCCCAGCTTGCATCTTGAGGCTGTTTGTCAAGCCGGGAAGTAACAGCTCCCATGACAAATAAATACAAACAAATAAAGCCAAAATAAATACAACAGCTGTAGTCCCCGGACACCTTGCTTAATTTAAACCTGGGTAACAGTTTAGTTAATTATGTCAGTGATATAAAACTGTTTCTTCGTTCCGCACATGTTCTTTTTATTCATCTTGAAACGTGTCCGCTTCTCTGATTACAGTCCCGCTGTCTTCTCTTATTCCCTACCCCCGACCCGTCGCCCGGTGCCCAGGATATATTCATCGCGACCCCTCCCCCACGAATTAAGAGCCCCACTTCTTGTGCTGTCCCCTTAACAACTGCAAACTCTCTTGCCTGTGAACTGAGACAAATTTTTTCGCTGTTGTTGGAAACAAATTACCCAAAATTTACTGTAGAAATTTAGGTTTATGAGAATTTGCCAGACATTTTGTGAAATCCCATCTGAATCCCAGCCCACTCCTGTAGTACATTTCTTACCAAGAAACCATTCCTCGCTTGATATTACCCTGCCTTTACACGTGTTGCTGTAGGAGTTCTGACTCTAACCATCCAAGTACCTCTTTGAAAAAAACAAAATTCATATTTTAATTACATTTCCCTAACTTCCCTTTAGGGTGTTCCAGATTAGCCCACTTGGAACATAAACCTGTTCTGGAAGGCAGGGATTCCCAAATTTCAACCTTTTTCATACTGTATCTGTATATACTACTCACTATCCTTTTTTCTTTAAATAAATGTATGTTTTCTTTAATTTCTTTAAGAAGGAGACTTTATAAAAGTACTAAATGGAAAACTAGCATCACCTATTATAAGTTGAAAATAACTGTAAGAAAAATGAATGCAAAACATGTTTTTAAATTGTGGCTACAAATTGTTGCCCACTAAAGGCTCTAAGTCTAAAGACAACTCTCTTTGTTAAAAGGGCAAGCTACCAAGCATTAGACACACATTAAAGATATAGCACTCAAATGGTATTTTTATCATGATGTCATCAAAGGATAGAAAAAATAGAGCCAGAATAACAATCACTTTCTCACTACATGAGTCATTGTTTTTAATCCTGCATGCATGTCCCAACTACAGTTAACCAAGGCATCATAAGTGAGCTCTTACTATGAGAAACACTGGTATGGAGGCTGAAAAAGCCAGTACTCTAGAATCAAACAGACATATTCACATACTGGCTCCTGCATTTGTAGCCATGTGCCTCTGGGCAATCTACTTTGTTCTCTGACCTCAGTTTCCAATTTATTATAAATATGGGAAAGTAATAATACCAATTCATGAGTTGTATAGATTAAATAACCCTATCAATGTAAAGCATATCATGCCTACAATGAAGTACTAAATACATAATAGCTTATGTATTGTATTACTACATAGAGATAATAGTATATATTATCTGCTTATATGTATTATTGTTGATTCCAGGGTTAGGAAGCACTACCTAAGGCAATGGATTGAAGGTACTACATGATATTCTGCAGTGGTTCCTAAAGTGTATTATAATCCCTACATCTACAGCATCAGCATTACTTGGGAACTTTTAAAAAATGCAAATTCTGGCAAGGCGTGGTGGCTCATTCCTGTAATCCCAGCACTTTGGGAGGCTGAGGTGGGCAGATCACTTGAGGTCAGGAGTTCAAGACCAGCCTGGCCAACATAGTGAAACCCTGTCTGTACCCAAAAATACAAAAATTAGCTGGGCATGGTGGCACATGCCTGTAGTCCCAGCTACTCAGGAGGCTGAAGCAGGAGAATCCCTTGAACCCAGGAGGCAGAGGCTGCAGTGAGCCGAGATCGTGCCACTGCACTCCAGCCTAGGTGACAGAGTGAGACTGCCTCAAAAAAATAAAAATAAAAAATAAATATATACATAAAATGCAAATTCTCAGGTGTCAACCTCAGACTTGAATCAGAAACTCTAGGTATGTTGCCCAGCTGTATTTTTACAAGCCTTCCAGGTAATTCTGATACGCATAAATTTGATGACCACTAATTTAAATAGAAGAAGGCTCGGTCAAGGAGTGAGAGGATCTATGTTCTAATCATAGCCTTAGAGTGATGTCAGCCAAAATGAAGGTGTAAGGACCTCTGAAAATTCTCTTCAGCAATGAGAACACTGGCAAAATTGTCAGAACCAGCTTTTTTAGAACTCTGAAAATTTACCAAAGGTTTGCAGCAATCCAGGGAGTATTTATTCAAACAGCTGAATCTCTAAGAACAGCGAGTTTTGTGTCATTTTGACTTGCCCTACTCTAACAGTCACATGTCCAGGTCCTCTGTAGCTTTGAAAACCAACAGCCCACAATTGTGAAAATGAGCAGGCTGGTAGCCAGCAGGGGAAGTAGAATGGTGCTGGAGCTCCTTTAAAGAGCCTAATTTCCAGAGAATTGTCATTATTTGACCTATCTGGTGGTTCTGCAGATTGTACAAGGCTGCCTTTATTTGATTTCACTCCAGACTCATCCAGTGCAAAGACTTTTCCCCAGGGGTCATTTGTCAAAAACAAAAACATTGATTAACTTTGCCACTGTCTTAGGCAGTGGAAACAGTTGGGGCCAAATACAGCTTAACCAAACACTTGAAAGTGATGCAGGGCAAGTGGGCCCCAAAACTGGGGCTTAGCCCAGGAAGGTTCCTGGCTTCACCCAGGGAAAAATTTGATGGCAAGCTGCTGGTGTTAGACAGCGATTTTTATTGAAGTGGCAGTGTACAGCAGCAGCAGAGATACTGCTCGTTGCAGAGCAGTGGTAACCCATGGGCAGCGTGCCCAGAGTAGCAGCATATGGGCTGTTGGAAGCTGTATTTAAACCCACTTTTAATTATATGCTAATTAAGAGGTGTATTATTAGAACTTTCTAGAGGTGAGGAGTTTTTAGATCCATATAAGGTAATTTTCAGGCCGTTGCCATGGCTTGTTGCCATGGCGTTTGTAAACTGTCATGGTCCCAGCAGGAGTGTCTTTATAGTAATGAACAGTGTGGGCAGCTAGAGGTCACTTTTGTTGCCCTTTGCTGGTTTCAGCTGGATTCTTTACTGCACTCTGTTTCTACCAGATCCTGCTCTGGTAAGAGCAGTAGTGATGGGTAGTGACCAGTGCTCAAAAAACAAATCCTGCTAATCTCCTACCTCAAAATGTAAAGCTGGAGAATGAGATGTCCATAGGAACTTTGAAAAACTCTGATATGGTTTGGCTGTGTCCCCACCCAAATCTCATCTTGAATTCCCATGTGTTGTAGGAGGGATCTGGTGGGAGGTGGTTGAATCATGGGGGCAGATCTTTCCTGTGTTATTTTCCTGATAGTGAGTAAAGTCTGATGGTTTTAAACAGGGGAGTTTCCCTGCACAAACTCTCTTCTCTTGTCTGCCACCACATGAGACATTACTTTTACCTTCTGCCATGATTGTGAGACCTCCCTGGCCAAGTGAAACTTCAAGTCCAATAAACCTCTTTCTTTTGTAAGTTGTCCAATCTCAGGTATGTTTTTATGGCAGTGTGAAAACAGACTAATACTGTAAATTGGTACCAGTAGAGTGGGGCATTGCTGAAAGATACCCGAAAATGTGGAAGTGACTTTGGAACTGGGTGACAGACAGAGGCTGGAACAGTTTGGAGGGCTCAGAAGACAGAAAAATGTGGGAAAGTGTGGAACTTCCTAGAGACTTGTCGAATGGCTTTGCCCAAAATGCTGATAATTATATGGACAATGAAGTCCATACTGAGGTGGTCTCAGATGGAGATAAGGAACTTGTTGGGAACTAGAGCAAGGGTGACTCTTGTTATATTTTGGCAAAGAGACTGGCAGCATTTTGCTCCTGCCCTAGAGATTTGTGGAACTTTGAACCTGAAAGAGATGATTTAGGGTATCCAGCAGAAGAAATTTCTAAGCAGCAAAGCATTCAAGAGGTGACTTTGGTTCTGTTAAAGGCGTTCAGTTTTATAAGGGAAGCAGAGCATAAATGTTTGGAAAATTTGCAGCCTGACAATGCAATAGAAAAGAAAATCTCATTTCCTGAAGAGAAATTCTGACCAGCTGCAGAAATTTGCATAAGTAACGAGGAGCCAAATGTTAATCTGGAAAATGTCTCCAGGGCATGTCAGATGTCTTCACAGCAGCCCCTTGCATCTTAGGCCTGGGGGCCCAGGAGGAAAAAATAGTTTCTTGGGCCAGGCCCAGGGTCCCTATGCTGTGTGCAGTCTACTGATTTGGTACAC